TTATGGATTATTGCGTCAAGCCCTTTTACCTCACCTTCAAAAAGCTGGAAAACTGCCAAGATTCTCAATCACGTACCAAGACTTCTTGGTTGCCGGAATAACCGACTTAGGACCGCAGGATTGGGCTGTTGGGCTGGGTACTCAACAAGAGCCTCATTTTTCAGAGAAAATGGGTAGCAGGTTGAATATCATTACGTCTCTGCCTGTGTCCGAAACTCGCGGAGCATCTGGAAGTGCATACCTCTAAGTCGCCTCTGGTTCACCAAATGCGCCGTTTGTACACGTTAAGTACAAGTCAATGGATTAATCTTGGAGCAGTTCGGGAGGTTGATAAGGTAGGTGATCTCATCAAATAGTCTCATCCGTGCTGGCAGGTGTCACAGGTCACAACTTGACAAGTAAAACCGTCCATTCCCTATTTGCGCTTGTGCTGCATGTCTCAACGCTATGTGGAGAGTGTCTCGCAAGGCTCGACATCGTCTCATCTCAGAGCATGCATCCTCATATCTTCAATAGAGAGCTACCGCAAAGACTGCATTGATCGACATTAGCGTAGGGCTCAGAAAATTTCTTGCTGGTACCGTGTTTATGAGAGATATCGACGATCTTGACGATCAAACACATCCAGGAAGTGGGCAGCACATGCGCTGGGAACGATGGACAGACGTTGGGTAGAAGATGGTGGGGTAAGGAGGGGAAGAAAATGACAAAACAGGTAGGGGCATCAAATCTAAGTACATGATGTTCGTGGAGGGGTTCCCCCTTGCTTTTCATCTCGGAATTGAGACCTTAAACTCTCATTCAGTTCGGGGCATGACTTCGATAGTACCGGTGGTACCGGCAATACCACTAAGTCTTCTGCCGCTGCTTTCCCTTGTCGAAAACGAAACACTTCCACACGTGTGCTGTGATACGCTCACATTCTGGGTATCGCTTAGGTATACTAATGCTCTCGTCGATACCGCACAAGGGGACAACCGATATGTTCCGTGCGGATCATGTTTATGCGTACCTCACGGTACGGCAACAGACGTGAGGTAGGTTGCCGTCCTTGGCGGTCTTCCGGGGAGGTTCAGGTCAACATCCGTTGACACCCGTGTAAATGGATCTGCGCTAGCACTAGGTAAGTACTCTCGCCATTTTCTTTTCCGTTGTTCAAGGATTGTTAGCTATTTGCGTGGAAGCTTAGGGATCCATGGTTGGATTGGTACCATCCATAGCAACGCTGACATCGCCTAGTTAACCGTGTGGACTGTATTACCATTACCCTTCCACGCTGTCGAATCATCCCAACAGGATTCCGTCTCTTCTTGAACTCTTCAAGCGTACACTAAGTCGGTTTGCAGTCCCGATTTACATGTTGCTGTCCCGGCCGTCCACATCCGATAACCGCAACCCAAGACCTCCAAGACTTGCAGTCGGGGACTTGGCAAAAGCTTATGTTGTCTCTCATCCTCTTATAAAACTGCCTTTTCAAAGCCTTTTGCCAAGCTCAATAGTCCCTTTTCTTTCTTTCGTGAGGCCTCCAACGGCTTCTCAATCCCCTTGTCTCGGGTCCCTTTTCTTGTCCTCCGTCATTCTCGGAACACTTTCGATCCTCTTGAATTTTCGCTTTTTTTTTTCTCCGACCGCGAGAGGAAACGGAGATCATATGTGTCACGGCAGTCCAGTATTGCCGTCTTGGTAGTCTCGGCATACCGTCAGGTTACGTCAATGGTGTGGGTTGTGATACATACTCTGCAAGGCCGCTTAGGTACACTACATTGGTGGAGCAGGTTTTGTTCAAAGCGTTTGTAAAAACCACGAAAAATATCTTCAACCGGCCGTGATAGTGGCCTCGAAAGTCGAAAAAATGTGCATTCACCTACCTATACGTACAAGTGTACCTGACCAAGGAATCCTGTCGAAGGGAAAATCTTCAGTCCCTTCCCTTCACTTGGCAACGACACTTCAGCTTCCGGTTGACACTCTGCATCTTTATAATATTCCTCGTGCTTTTTTGCATGGAATCAAAGTAAACCACCCGTAACAACCAGAATCTTTCTTTCCTAACAAATACACTTCCTTCTTTCTTTTTCCGGTGAACGGTGATACAACCAACCCTTTTCTATTACCGAGCTGATCGAACAATGTCTAGGTATCAGCCGCCCTTCTCACGGGAATAGCAAAGCTACTGTGCCTATCAAATCGATGCAAGCACAAAGTGAGATTGGGGGTCTTTGCCTTGTATGCACGTTATGTTCACATTCCACATGGGAAACGCCATGCACATACCTACATAACGCAATTGATTATGCGAGTGCGCATCAGCCACCCCTGCATTATCTCTGATATAGACACGGCAGGATGAGAAGAAGCTCGCACGATCCGTGGAAGCAGCCGTGAGAATGAACTTTGGAGACTACCGATGAGAGGGTCCAACAGACTCGGTGCGCTTATCTTCTGTGATCGAACGGTTGTACGGAACGGGAGTGTCTGAATGGAGAAAAGGATAAGAGAAAAAAAAAAAAGTCTGTTCCCAGTCTATTATCACCTTCTGTGCATTGTGAGACACTCAACAACTTACCAGCTTCACAAAGTTTCTTTCACAGCCTAATAAGGTATCTCTGTAACCCCTCCCCCCCAAGACGAAGCGCAATACCAACGACAAACTTTCCAACAGCTTTTTGAACAAGACTCGCAGTTGATCCTAGGCAAACCTCGAACTGCATTTTCTGTCACCCCACAGTTCTCCCTTTGTTACCTTATCAGTCAGCCCAGTCAATACAGATATAAACTATTCGCAAAAAAAGCGCCGTCAACGCTTCGATGCAACAATGAACAAGGCAGCGAGCGAACTAACTAAGAAAAGATAAACCTATCAAGACAGGCGGAACAAAGCCCGCACATCACAACTGGAGGAGGTCAACTGACTGACTTTGGTAAGAATAAGAAAGAGGTGAGCAAGTCAGCAGCGAGAGTGAGTGGGTAACAACATAGTGCGATTTTCGGGTGCGCTAACCGAGAGGTACTAGAATTAGTAAGAAGCATGTGTGAGGAGGTAATAGAATGGATGGGGAGCGAGGGGTAAGTAGTGTACATATTTCTAGCTTGAGGGGATAGGTAGGTACTATGGTAGGTGTGTTACACGAACGAGTATCCATCCAGTCGGGGGAACTTCGGTAAGGTTAAGGTAGGTAAATAAGTGTACCTACCTCATGGAAACTTTGTGTGTGAAAGATTAAGAAGAGGTAGTCAGTCACCTCCACCGCATGCGGGGAACATGGGAAAGACTGAAAATGGAGGACATCATATATACGGAATCGATAGACATGGCATTGGACTTGGACTTGGGACTCTCACTTTGTCCGATGCACTGCATTAAGGCAGCTTGGGCTTTACTCGACTCAGGTGCGAAGAAGAAAAGTTAGGCCGATAGGTGGTCCAAGGACTTGGGAGTAATGGCGATCTGAAAGATGATTGATAGTGCCTGAACGGAAGACACTTCGACAAAAAGGCCATGGCAACTTCACAGCAAATCTGATAAGTAACCATGACTGGAACCTTGTCTGATGTTTGTACCTACAAACTGCACAAGCGATAATACCATGCCATCTCCCTACCTACCTAGAATCGCTAGAAGTACTCGAACTTGAACAAATACCTTACCTTACCTATCCACCAAACTGACAGACCACGATCCGACTCGCTACATACCCACGACTCGCGACCGGACGAAAGGAGACCCCAAGTCCGCAACGCGTAGAAAAGTGCCAATGAGCAATTACCACCACCCACCGCTTTGTATTCCAATGATTCCCATCATCCCCACTGGTCTGTCTGTATGGAGGTATGCGATCTGTCAGTCCGGCTCTAGTCCAGTCAGTCGGGTTACTCAACACGGGCTTATTAGGTCTAGTCTAAATTCATGTTCCATCCGCGGAGATGGAGGATCATCAGGGACGAATATTATCAAATACAAAAAAGATATCGGTGGAAAGACGGTTCAAAGACAGGCAAGGCAGTGTAGATCTCAAACACCGCTAATCGACCTCGACTTTTTTGCGGCGTAAAAAAACGGGTCGTGTCAATGTCGACGGAATGCCATCAATCGCCTTGTCTTGCTCAACCACACATACCTACCTCACTCGAAGAAGTTTGAGTAATAAATTCCGCCAGTGAGCAGTTGTATAGTGTTGATTATTTATATGTGTACTATAGGACACACATGTATTTAGAGCATACCTGTACTTAATAAGTGCGTGTCGACGTGATGCTACAACGTGTGGCAAGCCGATATTATTCACGTTAACAAAACGTAGATTACCTATCAGTATACATTTCGTTTGGTTGAGCCCGTAATGATAGTTAGTTTATACAAGTTTTGCTCTTAGCTGTTGGGAGTGTCTAGATAGGTTGAATGCCTGGCTTTTCTGTATAGTTCATTTCTAATACCGGACTAAAGTTGCGAGAGTTTTTGAATGAGGTTCCGATGTTCTGAATACCTAGCACGTGATAGAAACAGTATTCCCGTATTTATAAGTATCTTCCAGGTTTATGCAAACGTGACTTTAGCAGATTCCGATACTTCTAATATAAACGTAAGTGAAGAAAGGAGTGACGAGAAGCTGATAGGAAATTGAACGAAAATTGAACGAAAATTGCAGAGAGAAGCGAAGAGAGAAGTGAAGAGAAAAGTGAAGAGAGAAGTGAAGAGAGGGTGCAGAGAAATGAAGCAAGAAGAATTGACACGGACCGTATATTCCCATGTGATAAGCGACCTATGTATATGCTTACACTTTCCCTTCAGCCCCTGGAATGTAAAATAGAGTGACTTGTTCATTAACCAGAAGGATATAAGCACTAGCTAGTCCAAAATAACTCCGCCCCGGGACCATATAATCTCAGCGCTCAAGGTATATATGACCTCGAAGTAATCGTTCCGCGCCCTCCACTACCAGCGTCCCAAATCAACCTTTGATAAACCGTGTTTCCGCTTTTGACGTCGCTGCCTCCTTAGGCTATTGCCTCCTACCTTCCACCGCCTTCCCTTCTCCCTTGGTCGCGACACCCCCAACCACCACCTCATTCGCCCCTTCCATAGCCTTAGCCACCACATTCGCAAACCCACTACCTCCTCCTTTCTTACCCTCATTGTCCCCTTCCCGTTTTGACTGCCAAAGATCCTTCGGCGTAGCTGTTGCACCCTGCTCATCGTTTCTCCCCTTCCCACTAGTCCCAAATAGTCCCCCACGATCTTCCTCCACCTCTCTCTGGCCATTATTCCCCAGAATGATAGTATCATGTCTCTTCTTATTCAACCGCGTATGATAAATCGTTCCCATACCCGTCCCAGACCCAGTTCCTCTACGGTCATTAGCCTTGCTATTCCTACGAGCGCCATTGGTAGAACTAATACTGGCCGAACGCTTGATCCGCTCAATTTCGTCTTGGAAGGCGTTATCGTAAATGTTGAAGTCGACCATGGTCGGGCTTTCTGAGACGTGATCGGCGGACGGAAGGTCAGAAGTGTTGATGGAGAAGGAGGTGTCAACGCCGCCTACACCGATGCCGAGGTGAGGTGGTTGAGATTGCTGTTGGGGTTGGATCTGGTCAGAAGTTCCTGGGCTCGGACCGGGTAAGATTGTCATTGAGTTGGTTAGGGTAATGGAGGATGAGGTGGAGCTGAATGGTGCAATAGAAGGGAGAGGGTTTCCGGTGGCGAGGGGGTGGAGAGGGCCGCCGCTGAGGTTGTACTTCCCGGCCAGGGTTCGGTTGATGCCGAAGGCACGGGGACCGGTAGGGTTGAAGAATTTCCTGCGCTCTTCGAGAATGCGGTTTGCAAATTCGGCTGTGGATTCTTTGTCATTTTGCGTAGGTTCCTTGAAGTTGGTGTTGGAAAAGTCAATGTCTAGCTCGTTTTCGTCAGGTTTGACTTGGACATTTTGGGGTTGGGATTTGCGCGTGGCTCCGTTGCGGTTGAGGAGACTCTTGAACTTGGAGATTGCTCTCATCTGGACAGTGTTAGAGATGAGTGAAGCATGGATAGTTGGAGTTCACTTACCACGCAAAAGAGATGGCTCATCCGCCTGGTAACGGCATGGTTGAGCTCAAGAGCATTGGGTACTTCAATTGGCTCAGAGCAGTTCTCTTCTTCGCTAAGTAGCGGGTCTTCGCCGTTCTTGGTCACCCAAGGGTGTTCCTTGATATTCTCAGTCAGCTGCATCAGATGCTTGAGTCAACGAGATCACTCACCCTGAGCTCATGCATGGTAATTCTCTTCGCCGGATCCTTCTCCAGAATCCTATGCATCAAGTCAAGAAACTCGGGCTTCTCGTCGGGAGGAAACTGAGGCTCCTGGGTTTTGATCGCTTCCCACATCTCCAGCTGGTTATCACATGCAAATGGGAGCTTGCCGTAACGCAGACAGTACAGAGTAACTCCCATAGACCAGATATCCGCTGCCCTGCCCGAAACATCGCCATGCTTTGCGCACAACTCAGGTGGCAGGAAAGCCGGTGAGCCTGCAGGCTTTGCTGTTTTCATCTCATCTGTCTTTTCGAAGATTTCCGAGACTCCAAAGTCGACGATCTTGAGGACGTCGTCCTCAGTGAGGAGTAGGTTGTCCGGCTTGATATCACGGTGGATCACGCCTTGTGAGTGGACTATAGACATGAGTGTAAGCTAGAGGTTTGCGACAAACATGCGTGAGAGAAGACTTACGATACTCTATACCCAAAATCAGATCCCGAAACCAAAAACGACACTGTTCCTCGGGCAGGGGTTCAACAGATCCATGAATGCCCATCTTCATGACCACGCCCTTCTTACACATTTCCAGCACCATGTAAAGCGAATCATCCTCGGGGTCATCCAGCACCTCATACAGCTGGACAAGGTTGGGATGATTCAGCTTCTTCATGATGGCAATCTCCTCCCTGATCAGAAAGAGGGCATCCTTGGCCTCGAGAAGCCTTTGCTCTGAGAAGCGAGAGATGGGCTGGTTGCGAGGGCCCCTTGGCGCACGGCGAAGAATTTCGGACTGAGCGCGCCTTCTCAGCTGAGCCTTGGAGAATTGCTTGATGGCATATTCCTTGCCAAACTGGTCGGTGGCCAGACGAACGGCGCCGTAAGAGCCGTGGCCTATCTCATCCTTAATGAGATACTGGTTGATGCGTTGGCGGGAACAGCCGTCGATGTCGTCGTCCAGATACTCGGATCTCGCATTAAGAGTTTCCTTGACTTCTCTGTGAAAGGACGGTGTTCGCTTGTGGTGTCTCATGGGACTCGGATATTGCTGCATCTGGGCTGGGGCCGAATGAGTGTGAGGAGGAGTTGCCGGTCTCGGCCTGCCATCGTCGGTTGGGTCGCCATGGAACTGGACTGAGATTCCCGGTGAGAGCAAAGGGGGGGTTGTCGTTTGTGGGTGATCTGGTTCAAGGGAGTCGGTCATGGTGCTTTGGATGCCGGAAATGCGTGGGCGGAGTGGTAGCGAGAAGGTTGTTGATGATGTTGTAGGGCAGCGAGGATCAGGGGCCCGGGGAGGATCCTGAGGTTGTTGATCTGACATTTTTCGTCTTTGAAGAAAATGACAAAAGAGCGGGATATGTAAGATGTTGCAGGTGCGGATGCTAATGCTGGTAGTACGTCCAGGTCTCTACACTTAATGCAAATGCAAGTGTAGTACCTATTACCTATCAAATTCGAATGCCTCAGCTATGACAGTTATTGCGTCTGATGTCCAAGGATGCCGATGGTTCCTTCGAAAAATGTTGAGCGGGAAGAGCCGTGAACAGCTGTTTTTGGTGCAGTGGTGGTTTGGCGCTGAGCTAGTTAGTGCGGGGGTTCTTCTCAGAAGCGAGGAGTTCAGAGATGACGATTTTATGTTGCAATTCCCGCCTGGGCTCCAAGTTCTCATGAGGCCCGGCTTGTCTTGTGGAGAGGACGCAGGGTGGTTATTCTGGACGTATTTTGCATTAGGCGAGAGTAGGCCCGGACTCGGCACCGAGGTAGGTTGCCGGTGTTATAAACTTCTTTTCTTTCAAATCGTGAATGAATGGAAACGGACAAGCTTGGCAGAGGGGATGCCCATCCGCCCAGGAACGTCCAGGGCTCACACAAAGGGGCGGAACCGTCCAAAACAAGTGGACAAAAGGCACAGATGTGGAATGAAAGGGAACCAACAAAAAAACGGGAGGGGGACCCTTGAAAGTCATGTCTCGTCAGATTCCATAGGGGGTCAGATCATGGTGCAAGATCTCGCCCTAGGGCTTCCTCGTAGGGCAGTTGCACCTCGATCCGTCTTGTCTCTTAACTCTCTCTTCAAGTTGATGACTACTTCCTGGCAGCTCCTCTTTTAACCTTCTATAAGAGTCTATAAGAGTCCCGTCGTTTATCTCCGCCATCATAAATGAATCGAAATACATGACAACTTTCCAGCGAATTGCCAAGAGGACAAAATCGTAAAGTTGATACTGCTGATTTTGACATCTGCTATTTTTGTACGAAATAAATATGAAATCCTAGCATACCCTGTCCCTATAACGGAGCTTTCCGTCGTGTGTAGATCACTACAGCGGCCAGCCTGTGCGTTCGGGAGGCTGACGGGATGAAAGTTGCGCTGAAAGTTTCCACTGTTAGCGCATTTCCTTGACGCCGTAGCGCACCCGCTTCTAGCCCCACAGGGAGCACGCCCGGGCGAACGACTCCCGTGGCCGACACCGACCTGGACCGATTGACAAACAGCGGGACACCGTTCGGGGCAGGGATCCGCTCCGCATTCATCATCTCAACTTGTGTCGCAACCGTAACCAACGGTCCTCCGTACATCATCTTGTCGCAACACATGTGCCTCTTCTCAACAAACCAGTTTCACAACACTCTTGCGTCTTCCCGCTCGACATCCGCCGTTTTCGCCCGGCGCACCGCGCGATACCGATCGCCATCCCCCTCCGAATCCTTAAATCGAGTTACTGGCGCTCCGGCTCCGAGCTACACCACCAACCATGGTCATCTACTCCTTTTACATCTTTGACCGACATAGTAAGCCCCGACCTGCCCCGGAAGCTCAACCTGACACCTTGCTAACCTTTGCCCCCTTACCCACCCAACAGCGGAATGCATATACTCCAAAACCTGGCTCCCACCCCCTCCCGTCCCAGGGGCAACACCACAACAACAACATGATGCCCCCATGATAAGCACTACCGGCGCCGCCGTCAACACACCCGACTCTCATCATTATTCGAATCCAAACGCGCTACGCAGCGGACGCTCGGCGGTCAGCGCGGCCAACAAAGCGTCGGACGACGCCAAGCTGATTTTCGGCACCGTGTTCTCGCTGCGCAACATGGTGCGCAAGCTGGGCGGCGAGGACGACGCGTTTATTTCCTACCGGACCGCCCAGTACAAGCTGCACTACTACGAGACGGCGAGCAACCTGCGGTTTGTCATGTTGACGGACACAGGGACGCTGAGCATGCGGAATGTGATGCATCAGATTTATATCAATTTGTGGTGTGAATATGGTGAGTTTGTCTTTTGGCGCTTTGGGCCAGCGGTACTCCCTAGAGGGTGTGGCTGCGGTCGTGGGTGGGTAAGGGAAGGAAGGGGAAACAGGAGGTTAACAACAAGAAACAGTGGTCAAAAACCCTCTTTCACCCGTCGAACACAAAGGCGGCGCCGGCGTCAGGAACGAGTTATTCGAGCTGGGCTTAAATCAGTTTATCACGGGTTTGATGTGAGAACTTCATCCAACCCTTGATCGAAATCACAACAGCACCAGAGCACAGACACCCGGCCCGATTCTCGCTAGCAGACAGATGGGCCTCCAACGACACTCCATCCACTCTCAGTTTTCTGCCTTTCTCGCAGACATGGAAGCTGATGAAAGAGTTCGATACATAGCGGTCGAACCGGCGGCCAACGATAGCGATCTAGAGTCGCCCCATTGGGGTTTCCCCGGGACTAAAAGGTTTTCGGGGACCCAGTTAATGCGAAAAGAGAGCCCAGGCAACGTCGATTCGCGAGCGAGCGAGAAGTATGGGCTCACTGAAAT